AACTGATTATTAATGTCGCAATAGACACTAGTGCGCTTTAGCGGAAGCAAGAATGGAGGAAGCGTAGAATTTTTCGTTTATAAATCTTTCGCGGAAGCAGTATTTATGAATTGTACGAAATTCACATACGAGGACGGTAGATAACCAGCCGGCGCTGGTATTAAAATTTAAAAAGAGCTACGTAACGCTGAAAGTTTCCACCAGCACCGGTCCAAAGTTCCTTCTCGTTAAAACCATCGCGCAATGCGCTATTTAGATAGCCATGGCTCGAGTCGCCTCCCTCGCCGTTTACCGTGCAAGCCACTTAAATGCAACGTCACCGGCGATTATGCAAAGTCCCTTTACCTGGGAAAATCGCGAGAGACGTTTTCCCGTCATCCGAGCGGTGCCTAACACTCACGTCAGCCGTGCGGGAATGTACCGAGCTTGATCGTCGGTTTGGAATGGACCTCGCAGCTTTCGAGGGCACGAAGCGTTTTCGGGACGTGAGGCTTTAATGCGCTTTTAACGCCCGGCGCAATAAATTTCCGGCCAAAAATGCATTATCGAGAGAAAATTTTGATACGCCTCGCCGCGTAGATTCAAAAGCCGCACATCGTCATCGCATGATCACGCTCGAAGCATTTCTACCTCGCTTTGCGCTTACATTGTTAAGCATTTAGGGATTCGACAAAACTCCATTATCTTAATCGGCAATTAATTTAAATCCCAAAAACTTTCCTGCGCAGCTAAATTTCTAATTATATAGGTATAAAATTCGTCGTTTCTAATTTTATCTTTATTTTCCCGTGTCAAATTACAAACATTGATAAGTTTATTCATTAATAAAATGATGTTAATTATCGCAACAATTTAGAATGTTTAAATTTTTATATGTACTCGCTATAATACCAGTTATAAATTCAAGTGAAATAGTGCAAACATGTTACATTTAAATTTTTATTACCTTAATTGGCAATTTATCAAATCATATCAAATTTATTCAATAATATTTGTAGTATTTTGTTTACAAATAAAATTATTACATATATCTTTGATACAAGGAAAGAAAGATTAGATTTACAACGTATGAATTACGTAATTAAAAATAACATTGCAGGCAATTCTACTTCAATTAAATTAATCATCGACTAAATTAATTAGAATTTGATTTAAAAGTAGCCTTTATATATTCTCAGTGCTAAATAAAATATCCATTCTATATAACTAGCGTTATTTATGCTATTAATTGTGGATTAATTAAAGAGTTCCATACGAAATGCAAATTAAATTATTTTGTAATTTTTTTATCGATCTCGCACACATTTTATAAATTTTTGTGGAAAAATATCAGTATTCAAATAACCAACATTAAATATTTAATCAAGAAGTTACTTAAAAACGTCAATAGTAATTACTTTTTAAATTTCTCTTTCGGAAGAAGCACATGGAATATTCCTTTCCAAGCGGAAAATGCGAATGCCATTTCCATCCGATAGCCGCATCCTCAACACTCGAGACGCACTTTACCTGACCGGAAAAACGTCAACTTCTTCCGAGTCTAGAAATTTCATTCGTTCCGCCGTGTGCATAAAACCTTCTTTTCCTGTGATCGAAGGTAAACACTTGTTATAAAAGACAATTAAAATGGCACATTACATTGTATAGAGTATAATTTTCCTTACACACATTTACATTAGAGATAGTCTAACTTTAAATTATTTTAAAATTACAAAATTATTTAGTATAAAAAATTTAGATACAATAATTATTATTATTTTTCATAGTAATGATGTTTTGTAAAAAGCTCATTTGTGTGTATGTGTGTATGATGTGTGTATTGCGTGCATATATGAATAATATTTAATATACTATATAGGCACACATTTCTGATGCACTAGACATTAGATTAACGGAAAGTTACTCATGTTTCTCTGATATAAAAATATCTTATGCTAGATGTACATATGTGCGTCTTTCACACCTTTATTCACGCGTTTACCACGCGTATCTTTGTATATCGACTTTATGTAACACTTATTTGACCTAGATAGAGTTTGATTCGATTACGTGACTCCCTCATTGTGGGTATTTTACTATAGTAGTACCGTAGCATGTAAATGGATTTGCTATTTGCATGCATTATCAAAACAATGGCACCCAAGAATTTTTGTGCACGCAATTCGCATTCGAAAATGCTCCCTTCGATTGTTTACCTTTCGGCTTTTTAGTTGTGCAATTAAGCGTAAATGATCCAGATATATAAAATACCGCGTGAGTAATCTAATATTATTTACAAATTATTTAAAACAGAATATGTGAATGATACTAACATGTATATTCTTTTAATCGATAAATATTTAACAAACGAAAACAATGATTAAAAAGATAAAATAGATTTAAAAATATATTTTTCATGTTTTTAATATCTTTGGATTATATATATATATATATATATATATATATATATATATATCTGTAACAATTTTAAAAAATAATGAAAAAAGATATAAATTTATGAGTAGATTCTTTAATCAAGATGAAGATAATTTCTTTTTTAGTGAAAAATCCAAGTACATAATAATTTTTAGATTATAAATGTGTGTGATTAAAAGAGGAAATCTTTTAAAAATCATATTATATGAAATCAAAACAATACACACATACATAACGTATTAAATTTTAATTACATTACATAATAACTAATTTTTCTCAAGTGTATTAAACAGCGTGATAAAATTAAAAATATAAAATTAAGAAATTTTTATACAATTTTTTACATAATTATAGGAGGTAATACTAAAAACAATAAACATGTATGTGAGGTAATATTAAAAATAATAAACTCAAAAACAACATATTTAATCATGAAATATTTTTAATATACGATCTTTTTACTATGTGCGTTCATGTTTTTTGTGCGTTATCTGATAAGATTGTTACGATTGTTATGATTGTTATATAAAAGTTGTTAGTATCTATATGTTTAAAGACTACATTTAAAAAGCGACAGATAGTCACACGTTACAAAGCATATAAAGTGTTCTACGACGAGAATTTTCAACGATGGATGGAAAAGGTCATTTCGCAGATTATCGAGAATATCGGATCAAATATGAACGAAGAACGGTACGAATCCAAGAGCAATAAGCTTTTTATATCCGATCTGTATTACACATATAAGGTGTACAAGCAAAGTGAAGGAACAAAGCGAGGAACTTTCTGTCATATTAAAAAGGCCTGCTTTGTTGAATGATTATAGGGAAGCCTGTTTGATTTTTGAATATTTATTCGGATATATATAAATTTAAAAAATATAAAAATATATAATAATCCATATCAATTAAAACTTATGATAATAACTATAAAATATTGACGAAATAATTTTGATCATTTCTGGCATTCCTTACTTATCACCTTATAATTGTTGTTTGCGATAACATTGATAATATATTAATATGTTTTCAATGTTCTATCGCTAATGTAATAGTATTACTGTATAATGAATAAATAAATTATATAAATAGAAAATAATAAACAAGTAAATATTAAACCTTTTAATGTAATAAGTTAAAAAATATATGACAAAAATTAAAAATAAATTTTCCAAAATTCTTGGTCGATGTGTAAAAGAATAAATCTTCAAAAATTTCTTTAGACTATTCTTTAGACGTTAAGACAGTAGTTAAAATTCTCGTTTTCATTACATTTAATCTCAAGTTAAAAATCAAAAAACCTATCTAGTCCTCCATTTAGATTGAGTCACTCAGTTTCCTTAGTCGTTTGTTAGTTTTCACACGATTCAATATTTCATCCACTTTCTTCCAGTTTTCTTTGGATGACCGTGTCTGATGGTATTGTTCTCGAAAGCATCTTTCGTGACCCCATTTCTTTTTACACTTATACGAACGCCAAAAACGGGAGAGCGGCTAAAGAAATGAACTCGGAATAAAGAATACATAAAAAAAGATCTTTTCATTTTCAAGTACTCTACGACTTTTCTAAATTCACTCAAAAACAAAGAAAAGCAATTTGATATAATACACGTAATCTGATTTATTGAAACAGGGGCAGTAATGCTTCTTGCAATTAAATAATAATTTGACCGTGCATTATTGCTTGAATATATTTTTTATAATTTGTAAAATTTATTTTCGTAACTGCACGTAATAATGAGTAATAATACGTCATATCAGGATAACGATCTAGATAAGATTAGAAAACGCTATTACAAAATATATCATGATATATGAAATCAGTTCTTAACAGAATGATTTAACGAATTTTACAAAGATAAGTGCCAACTTTATTTCATATTTAATCGTTGATTGATATGTTTATATGTATATATATATATATATATATATATATATATATATATATATATATATGTGCATACGCGTCTTGCGTACATGTGTGTGTCTAAATTCCCAGTATTATTTTATAACATATTCTTAATTATTATTTTCGTTATTTATAATAACAATTATTTATATTATATATAATTAAGTAATTATAAATCATTCTCTTATAACAAAGTTTAATTGCATTATAATACAATTATTTTAATTGTCTCATTCTTCGCAAATTGTATGTCGATGAGTAAAATATCCAATGCATATTACATAATTTAATTGTTAATTTCATATAGAAATACTCGCGCATTAATTTGTTATCATAAAAGGAAGACAAAATTACTCCGAATTCTTGAGAAATCATGTATTTCCTTTCTAAAAGTATAAAATATAAAAGTATAATATTCCTAATCGATCGATGAATGATTTTATTCAACATTATAATATCGATGTTTTTCATGCTGTAATTGATTTTTTCCTGTTCTGTAATATGTATTTGATAATTGATCAATTCCAATGTCCTAGATACACGGTCATCAGTCAATAGCAAACAGGTATTTCCGTGCATTGCATATCGTGTTGACAAATGACGTAGCATCATCGCGATGCAAATCTCCTACTCTTTTCGTATTCGTACATCTTTATAACGGAAGATGGCATGGCATTCTGCCTGGAGAATGTTACTACCGTCAGAACCACAGTCTCCATTCAGTAGTCAATTACGATAAACTCGCGCTAACCAGTATCGTATATTTGTATTTATAATCTAGAACGATAGAAAGTGTAGAGACAAAATGTCTGGTGAGGAAGATTTTCAAAGCTGGATCAAAGAAGTGATGCCAAAAGTTATCGAGAATCTTGGGTCGAACGTCGAGGAAGCTCGATACGAAGTATCCAAACCTAGCGATTTTATCATGTCCACGATGTATTACGTATGCGTGAAATTTAAAAACAAGAATGAAGGACAGAATGAGGAACTATCCTTGGTACTAAAGAGACCTATACAGGCAGAATTAATGAGGGAAATGTGTTACCTCGATTCTCAGTTCCACAACGAGATTTTGTTCTATCGGAACTACTTCAAACCCGACGAGAACTTTCCCAGATGCTTCTACACCGATGAGAAACCGCCCACCGATTCGGTGATCGCGTTAGAAAATATTATCAAACGGGGATACTGTCCTCCTCCGTCCACGTACGACGTTCCTTTGGAATATATTTTAGCGGCGATACGCGAGATAGGATGGTTCCACGCCAAAGGTTACATCATGAAGGAGCAGCAGAGCGACAAGTTCTTCGACATCGTACAGCAGCTTCAAGAAAATAGATATAGCACGCAATGGAACGAGTCGGAAAAGTTGTACATAAACTTTGCCGCGAACCGGGCAGTGGAATATCTCCGTGAACAAGGATACGATACGATTTTTTGCGACAAAATGGATGCCTTTCTTTCTAAAGCGTACGACACAGTGATGGTCAAAACGGCGGAGCCAAAGGAACCTTTAGCCGTATTGTGTCACGGCGATTTTACATTAAACAATATTCTTTTTAAGACGGAAGATGATGGACAGCTACGGCCGATGCTAATCGACTTCGCGCTTACGAGATATTCGACTCCGGTCGTTGATCTTTCCACTTTTCTCTATCTCTCTTGCTCGAATGAAATTAGAAAGGATAATTTTTTCGACATCATACGAGCCTATCACGACACACTAAAAAAATATTTGCTGGACGCTGGCGTACAAAACATGGACAAATATTCGTATGATGCTTTCCTGGATGATTTCAAAAGAGGCGCTCTCTTTGGTTTCATTATCGCGTCCTTCTTTTTAACAACATTGATGGGATGTGATAGCAAAGCAATGTTTGATAAAGTGATAACAGGGGAGATGTCTCAAATGGACTATCTAATACAAAACAAGCAATCCGGTGGAGAAAAAGTATCCAAAATATTAGCTGATATGTTGCTGCAATTAAAAGATTTGGGTTGTTTGAAACATATCCTATGATTGTTTGTTTTCTAATTATACATCTATATTAATTAATGATTGTGATAAATGCGAAAGATTTTTAAATAAGCAATTGCGTGTCAGGAACACACACTGAGAAAAATTGTTTGATTGTCAACAAAACGTATCTGATAGAAGGCATTTTGGTTAAACCAAGCAGAATTTCTAATTATCACGATAAGACTCGATTTTTTATAACTAGAACATTTAATAGAATTGACTACAAGGATTTGATTAGTATTTTCTAGTTGGATCTATAAAATTTCTTGTTATATTAACTAAACATGGACAAAATGATGCCATTTTTTTGTTTAGTATTATTACACAGTTTAGTATTATTACTCAGTAATTTGTAAAGAAATTCTGATTCGTCCATTTTCCAACAAACATACTGGTTGAATCTATCAGATTTCTAATTAATGTAACTAGATTTTTTCAATGTACACAACGCAAATATAAAAGGATTATAAATTACAAGCAGATATAGACTGTTAAAGGTCTATTTATACATATCCGTGACGTATGAGTGCCGTATCAGTGTCGAGTCAGTAACATCCGTAATATATCAGTGATGATTATTCACATACATCCGTATAGTTTGAACTCAGTGATTTTCAAGATGGCTCAGTTTTTTATATTTAGGATGCGATAAACCGTATAGCACGGGATATTGACGCACTAATTCAATAAGTTGTTCATCATTCATTTTTACAAGCCTAAAAATGTCTATATAAATATAGGTATAAGCTTATAAAGATGTTTCCATGTCAAGTAAATTACTTTTTTTAAATCAAGATGTGGATTTGAATGCAAATAAAATATTATATTAAGCATAATTTTACTGTAAAAATTTTATCGTAAAATTACACAATATAATATTTCACTTTCATCTAAATCCACGATTTGATCCAAGTGATCTGCTTGGCATCAAATACTCTATAAATAAATTTACTGACCGTCGTAATGTATCCGTGAAAAAGCAAAAATATCGTTTGCAATAAACACAATATTACTATGCGAACACTGAACTGAAATTAAACGATCTGAATACGATACTGCGTCGGACATGTGTAAACACGTCCATCTAAAAACAAAGGAACGACATTTATCATTGATACTGACGAAAAATCACGGAACTGAACGGATACGACACTGATACGTCACGGATATGTGTAAATAGATCTTAATACGGCATAATTTAGACAAATAATAATTTAGATGAAGAAATAATTTTCGAGTCACAATTATAAAAAAAATATTTATAGATTTTATAGATTTTATTATCAATTTTATAGATTTTATTATCAATTAATTTCATTAGATCGAAAAATTTCAAATAATTACTCCTACGTACTTGAACGTAATTTTTATCAGGTAGATAAAATGAATCGATTGAAAATTATCTGATATGGTTTGCAAAACAATTGTGCAAAACAATTGTGCAAAACAACTGTGCAAATATCGCGAAAACAATATGGATATGAGATTAAAACTAAAATCCACTTATATATATAAGATAAAGAAAGAGATATATACATGCGTATTATATAAAAATAAGTATAGTATTGCAGAGATGCTCACACATTGATGAAATTATTCTTTCGTTTTTACACAAATCCGGATTTACTTTTCAAATAAAGAAACGCGTAGCCACCAAAGAATAACTTTGTCATTTCCATATATCTTTCCAAGCTAGCAGCGGCGTTTATCACCAAGTTCACTTATGCCGCGTCCCAGATTCACACATACAGTCGAAGTTTCCTTTAGAAAAAAGTATTTCCTTAATATATAAAAAGTATTAAGCACGCGCAAGATAGAGAAATAAAATATCAAGTTTGATAACGTAAATTTATTCATAATATTATTAGCCTCCATTTCTGTACTATTTAAATTAAAAAAATATTTGTTGTTAGAATTAAAATATATAGATATATATGAGTGTACGTAATAGAGAAAAATTCGTTTCTGAAGAAAAAATTCTCTTTATAAACGTTATTACGTTTATCATGATATTTCTACAATTGTAGCTGTACAATATTTTTATTACGAGGAAAAAAATTCCACGAGTGTGATTGGAGATGCGAAATTTGATGAATCATGTATACTGTTATTGCGCAATAAAACTGCAATATATCGGAGATGTGTTTCGAGGAAACTAATGTACATCTATGAAAAACTATGAAAAATGTGAATAATAAATACATAATTTATATGTTGAATTCGTAAAAATCTTCTTAATCAATCATATCAATATAAAGCATCATTTTATAGTTTATCTTTTATTCATTAAAATTCATCTAGAAATGAAATTTAAATAATTATCTAAGCAAGTAATTTAAATATAAGATTAATATGTGTGACAAAGTTTTATCTCGATTTTAAATTTATACTTTTAATGCGTTGCACTTTTTGACATTTATAAACTGTAAAAGCTATTTATTAGACTGCTGACGTAGGCACGTAATGTGACAAAATTCTATTTTTGTATTCGTTTCATAAGAGCATACGTTTATGAAGCAAGGCTACCGCTCAAATTGGTTATAAAGATTAAAAGCGATGATCTAATCTTTTATGATTGCTGCTACAGAGAACGATATGACATTGTACCTAAAAGAGCTGTCGTACATATACAACGCCGTGTATTTTACGTTACGTAATTATTAGAATGATATTCCTAACTCATTACAGTTGCGTAACACAGAAATGTTACTTTGTTTATTTCAAAGAAATATCAATCAGCTGTTACCTGAAAAAGTAATTATTAAATAAAAGAATTGTAAAGCTGTTATATATATACATATATATATATATATATATATATATATATATATATATATGTACAAGGTGTCCCAGGTATTTTCCGTCTATTCTTCCGTCATCTTTCAAAGATTCCTGAGATCATTTGAAGACGATTTTTCCTCAGCGAAAATATCAATGAAGGCCATCATTTTTTGCATGTACCCGATTTTTGTCATCATATATCTTTGCAATTAAGTCTTAAATTAAAACTCAACTAAAGTAAACTCTATTTAAAATTAAACAAAGAATGTGGTTTTGTTAATATTTTATTTCTATAAAGTTGAGTTTATGAAAAACCCCTTATTTTCAATCACTTATAATTCGAAAATTATTAGTGCCTCGACGTTTTCGTTGAGGAAAAATCGTCTTTAGATGATCCCTTGAATCTGTCTTGAAAAATGACGAAAGATAACTGGGACATATATATATATATATATATATATATATATATATATATGAGATAAATAGTGAATATAAGTAAAAAAACTGTTATCGAACATTTTTATATTTTAGAAATATTATTTTTAGTGAAATTCTTTCATCGCAATAGACATAAATATATTAGTTGCATAAATATATTATTCTAGTTGTATAAATATATTAGTAAATAAATTGTACAATCGATCGATAAAATAATTAATGACGGAATCAAAATAGATATCCATGTGACTAATTATCTCTCGATATTTTAACTGCTGGAAATGTTTTCGTTGTTCGCTTGAAACGAACAACGCCGTTACAACAGTTCGAGAACCCGACAATCGCCAATATAAGCTCTCTCTTGCTCTTCTCTCTCTCTCTCTCTCTCTCTCTCTCTCCCTCTCTCTTTCTCTTTCGCATAGTTGTCGAAGCGTCGCCTGGGATAAGTTTGATCGTTAAGAGCAAAGAATGCGACACCGTACACATCGCTTAGAGCGAAACTTTTCGAGGGCTGGAGCGAGTTTAACAATTGGTGTTGAACTTACTGGGTAGTTGCGATATCGGAGAACATAGGCAAGTATGTATGTATACCGCGATGAAAGATAGAGATAGAGGGGGAGAGAGAGAGAGAGACAGAGAAAGGGAGGAGAAAGCGAAAGAGAGAAGATGAGCAAGGCAGAAAAACACGAGGAGAAACGGCAAAGGGGTTAGAGAGAATCGAGGTAAGGGGTGACAAGCGCAAGCCGGAACGAGGTACGATGGGTGCGGGAACACTTTAATCGAACTGCAGTTACGAGTTCGAGCGGAGCCTCCTCCGACTTTCTTGATAGTCTTCTATCGGTGTAGCTCGAGAACGTTGCCACACTGTAACGATGCCGAAGAAAGTGATTTCCGTAAACAGTCGTTTGTCACTTCCCTTTGTTATAGTACCTCCTTGAAATAAATTAGAAACTACTATTCTTCAACGATTGGCTCGATCGTAAATAGTTGGCAAAGTATCATAGCAATAGTGATACATTATTATATAATCGTATTCTTCACGTGAGCTCTTCACATTCTCCTTTCAATTTTCGATAGAAATTTATGCTGATACATTTTTCTTATTGAATTTATTATCTACTTACTCTTTTAAGTGAGAGACATTTTTATTGCAAAATTTATGTTGATACATTTTTCTTATTGAATTTATTATTTACTTACTCTTTTAAGTGAGAGACATTTTCATTGCAAAGATTAATAATAATAAAATGGGAGATAATTATATCAATTAATTAAAAATCAATATTAATTGAAAATCAATTCTCTATCTATTTGTCTCTAATCGATTAGATTATTTTATAAGAGAATGCTTCTTATGTATATCTTCTGATGACTTTTATATAATCTTGCGTCTGAAAAATTAATACCCAGTTTATCTTTTTGATAGAATATATCTGTATCTGTATCAATACGAGATAATCCTATTAAAAGAATTTTTATCCAATCATTTCCTTTTTTCAGAATATCAATTTCAATAATTAAATTAAAATATTTATATAAATTGATATTTTATTAGTTTATCGATGCAAAATGGTTTCGAGAGAAATTAAATATTTTGAAAACGTTGATGCATTTTGTGATAAACATTCGAAAATATAAATATAAATATAAATATAAATATAAATAATTAAATATATATATAAAAGAAAATTTAATAAATAAATATATATGCTTTTATATATATCGCAAAACGATATAAGTATCTAATTTGCGTGTGTTCACTAATAAGTCACAAATATCCCAGAGACACATTTTCATAATGATTCCATTTATATATATAACTTTATTAAATACGTGATGCATGCGGAAGCACTTTCGCCATCCAAGTAACACTTGAACTTGACAAATAAGATAAATAGATATATAATTATAAATAGACAGATAATTATTTAGGACTCTTTGACAAATTGTTTGACGTACGAGTATTTTGCGGCAAAATATATCTACATGAGAAAGACGGAAATTACTCGATTTGTTCCGATAATCAAGCGAGTAATCGAACAGGATGAATAAATCCACGCCACCAGCATCCCAAAAGGAGTTTATCCCACAGGAATACCGTGCTGGTTTACCGTTCGATTCGCGCGCATTTGTCTCGCGAAAAGATATCTCTCTACCTACGGCAATCTAATCGTCTCTCGAACTATTTCAATCATTCGAAACATTGCGCTATGATTTCTATGCA